ATAAAATACAAGAATTAACTAACATTCCCCAGTGCTACAATTCATAGAAACTTGATTCGTAATAATTATATTCATCAAAACTCTGCCGTCAACAACTCTATTCTTCAAAACCCTGGAGACAATAATTACCTTTCATGGTTTAAACGTAGCGTACGCACTCGTAAACTTGAATTTACCTTGATTGCTTGAAAATGGAGAGTGACGTCGTGGCTGAATGTAGAGGAGAATTTTTCTACGAAAAAGATGTGGGGACGGCTATCCTATTTATATGTTTCGAATTTAATAAAATAGACTATTTTCTTGGCCTAAGTGATGCCATCTTTTTTGCTCTTTGCGATGAAGAAGATGCAATCAAAACCCAACTTAACTTTGATGTCGACGTGATGTTAAAATAAAATAAATGATTTTCTCGCGTAGCATGGCAAAGTGGTTGTGTAACGCATAAAAAAAGCATTGCGTTCTCAGTTGTGAGCTTGTTGCATAGTTATAAAACGGACTGTAGAATATTTCCTTTTTTGAAAAACTGTAGGTTAGTGCGTTTGACAAAAATAATTAAGATTTTCAAAAAACATGCAAGACTAATTTTCGAAATATTTACATCGGACAAAAATTCCAACATTAGAAATTTTTTTTCACGCCTTTATTAATTAATTGTTAATAAAGAAGTCATTATTATTGCCGTGAAAACAAGCGTGTTTTAGAATTTTCAATATTTGTGGGAACCTTCTTTATGCATTATTCAAAGAACAGATCCTTAATCAACGATTGAACGGTGACACTAAAATCAAAAAATTTAATTTCATACAAGTCCCACACTCTCATTTTTGATGAAATCTATTAAAGAAAACTATGAAAAATTTTACTAATATAGGCAAAAAAATAATAGGAATAGGACGTAATTATAGGTGAGTATACAAAAAAAAATTATTTTTTTAAATGCAATATATAAAATCATCTAAATATATAAAATAAAATAAAAAGTGAACATGCAAAAGAACTTGGTAATGCAGTACCAGCCAACCCATTTTTCTTTTTGAAGCCAACCAGTTCTTATGTATTACAAGGCCAAAATATTGAATTGCCCAAAGGATGCATTGTACACCATGAAGGTATTAAAAAAATTTTAGATAAAGAAGGAAGGAAGTAGACGAGAGATATTATTAAAAAAATGAATTAATTATGTTTAATTAATTATTTAGTTGAATTAGGAGTTGTTATTGGTAAGAATGGCAGGGATATTAAAGAATCAGAAGCATTTGAATATGTTGATGGATATGCATTAGGAATTGATTTGACAGCTAGAAACGTTCAAGACGTTGCAAAGAAAAACAGATTGCCATGGAGTGTTGCTAAAGGATTTGACACATTTACGCCAATCGGGTAAATTAGTTGATTTGTTGGTTGGTTGATTTATTAAATATTAACCGGTTAAATACTAATTGACCTGATTGTTGATTGATTTATAAGAGATTTTATACCGAAAAAAGAGATAAAAGATCCTTCGAATGTTAATTTATGGCTAAAAGTAATTATACAACAATAATAATAATAATGCTATTATTATTATTATAATATATGCACTTTACTTATTTACATACAAATAAATCTGTTTATTATAGATCGATGATGAGGTAAAGCAAAATGGAGACACAAAAGATATGATATTTCCCATACCAAAATTGATACAATTTATTAGTACTATAATGAAATTGGAGATTGGAGATTTGATATTAACTGGTAAAAAAAAAACTTAATAAATAAATAATAATTTTATTATTATTACTATTGATATGATATAAATATCGTTATTTGAAGGAACTCCATCGGGCGTTGGACCTATAAAATCAGGACAAATTGTTACAGCAGGACTCAACACAAACAATAATAAGAATATATCAAATATTAAATTTTCTGTTGTTGATAGAGATGGATTGTTTGAATTTAAAGAATAAATTCTTTTAATATTTTAATTATTTAAATTATTTAAATTATTTAATCGTTAATATTTTTTACTAATTCAATTACGCTAATTTCATCTTCATCTTCGTCTTCACCTTCTGCAATGGATTCTTTTTCGAATAAAGATACATCTACTGTAACATCATCATCTTCTATAAACGTTGAATCTGATTTTGCGAGTGATTTATCTTGTTCAAATAATTGTCTTCCTACAAAACAAAAATTTTTTTTTAAAAAAAATTATAATCTCAAAAAATTGGAAGGATCAATCAATCAATCAAATATAAATTTTTTACCTGTTAATTTATTTTTCCTTGATTCTTCTTTTTTTAATAAAATTGGGTCTTTCTTTGATTTTTCTATATCTTCCATTTTTTTATCAAAAAGTTTTTTCCATTCTAAAAATGCTTCATATGTCACCTTTGTACCTTTAAATCTTGCATTTTCCTCCTAAACAACAACAACAACAACAACAACAATAGATTCAAAATTGGAAACTAATAATCTATAATTTGTAAAACTATCAATAAAATTATTAGTTACATCAATTTCTTTATTGATTTTTTCTTCTTCTTCCTTTCTTCTTTCCTCTTTTCTTTCAATAACCATTGTTGTTAACAAATCTTTCAGTAGTGTTGATAATGTAAACACCATTGCCATTCCCAATGAATCATCAGCCTAACATATAATAATCATTAACCATTGTGCATTTTACATATGTATTTGATTGTAAGAAATATATTAGGCATTATACCACTATAGAAATTTCAGAATATAGTTTATCATGTTCTTCTTCACTCAATTCTCCCTCCAGTGTATCAATTGATATTATTGGGGTCTCTTCTGGATATTTTGGTGTGTATTTTATGTGTAAAGCAATCCTGATATCTTTATTTATTAATAGGGTAAATTTATTATTAAAAAAAAAAAGTAAGAAATTAGTAAAACATTCCATTAATATGTATATATATGTGTGTGCGAGACAAGATATCTTACGTAAATTTAAATCACGATCTTGATCTTCAGGTTCAATTATTATTCGAAATTCTTTTTCATTAATTTCTGAATTATAGTATTTATTATTAATAGTTGCGATTCTTATTTTTATGATATAATTTTGATTATTAAATAATTGCTAACCTTCCAATTCATCAGGATAAATAGATTTTAATACTTCTATTTCTTGATTTTGTTCTTCTTGATAATCTTTTTTTGGAAAAAATTAACTATTATAGAAATTTAAAGTTTTTTTTTGAGAGAAAAATAATTATTTTACCTGTCATCATATCAAAGTGAAATTCAAATTCGTAATCAATATTTCATAATTTCTATGACCTAGCTGAAATTTCCCAAAAAGTAAATTTTTTTTATAGAGCAGTATGTAGATAGATACGTAGTAATATAGAGCAAGCATAGAAGCTAATAAAAAAAAAATGCAACTTCTTTTTTTTACAAATTAAAATTATTATATTTCTTTTATTATTAATACTACTACAACAAAACTACATTCATAAAATGAAAAAAATCAAAACGCATTCGAGTTATCTTTAATGCCCGAATTTGAAACACACGAGTTGTATTTTTGAGTTAACTATGCGTGATGGTAAAATACACACAATAACATTAATAATAAAATAAAAACGTCTCTAAGTTTGGAACACACATAGGCCAGTTAACATTGGTATGTAGGACGGCTTTTACTGTAAATTTTTAACTTTGAAGCAAGCTAATTTATACTTTGAATCACATGACCACCCGGTATAAAGCAACTAGTCATCCTACTAAAACTTTGTCTACCCGATTATCATCCCAAAAAATACGACAATTTCGAGTAAATTTCAATTTTAATTTTATTTCTATTGTAAAATTTCTTTATTAATATAAAAATTGATAGATTGATAAATAAAATAAATAAAAATCTATTTAAATAATTCTAAATATTAACCTATATATTAATTATGAATACTATGAGTTATATAAAACACTTGGTATAATTGGTTTATCAATATTGTTTGGAGAAACTCCAAATTTGTAATCCAAATCCTACAATAGAAGAATTCCAATTATTAAAAAATATTGTACACACACACATATATATATATAATCACAAAAAAATAAAATTTAAATTTCTTACCAACAAAATTTTTAAAGCGTTTCTACTCTTTAAATAATCGAGATCTCTACTACTATCACCACCAATATTATCGGTTTTAGCAGCAGTAGTAGTGGTGTAAGCCTTGACATTCCAAGGAAACCACCTTTGTAACAACTCGTAAACCATTAACGTTGTGCCAAATTGCGGCGAAGATCTGAAAACTCTGGCAGGCCCACCTTTGAAAAATGCTCCAAATCCTTCTTCCTTGAGAATCTTTTTAGTAGCATCAATTATACCATTATACTGTGTTTGTCCTGTCCTGGCTTCAACTTGCAATCTGGTTTTTATAACGTCAGCAGGTGTAGTCAAATAAGCAGCTGGCATACCAGCCAACGCTCCTGATAACAACAATTCAAATATACTACATCTTTTACCATTTACTCCATCATTGAACAGATCTTTTTTTATATGTGCATAAGAAGGAAAATATATAGCACTGAATGGTATATCTCTTAATAAACATGCATTTACTCCTTTATATAACCCTACTATACCAAGACTTCTAACTATCCATATAGCTGATTTAGGCGGCACCTTTGTTACTAAATTTCTTGATAATTCTCCTTGTACTTGAAGTCGAATCTTTACTATTTCTAATGGATTTGTAAAAATCTATTGAAAAATATTAATAAATATAAATAGAGCTGTTAAAAATAAAAAAAAATATTGTTTTTGAAAGAATGAAAAAATGAAATTCAACATACCACTTGACAACCTCCTGCTGTCCCACCTGCCAAAATTTCGTATCTAGTTGGAATTTTACCAGTTTCTTTATCTGTCAAAAGTGATCTTACTAAATCATTAACTGTTAATTTGATGGCTTTTTCAGGTGCTACGCCAATTAATTGAGGACCCAGACCACTATAAAGACCCATTACACCTTCATTTTTTATAACTTTATGAAAACAATCGATACTATTTCTATATAATAATTCACCAACAACTTTTGATCTTTGATTTTGCATTCTTGTTTTAACCAAATCAATAGGATACACAACTGTTGCACCTACAGCCCCAGCTATTGAACCCATTGCAAAAGAGTAGACTTGATGAAGTACATTCCATATGAAACCAGTTCTTTCACCAGTCACCTTCTTTAATTTTTCACTATCAATTTCTATTAAAGGTTTAATTACTGGTGGCTTTTGCCATTGCTGATCCAATAATTGAACAAAATCTTTCTTGCCTAATCTACCAGAGGGATTTCCTAAACTAGCAAAATGAAATATTATATCGGTTTCTAAAGGAGTGAACAATGAGAATCTTGTTTCTTTCGCAGCTGTGTTAAGAAAATCATTTTTAGTGATTCTACCATCTTTACTCTCAGAAATAGCCTTCATCACAATTCTTTCCACCATGTCCATTTGCCTCAACACATTATGAAAAGCAACTACTGCTGCATAACTTATTTTTTTGGTTGTTGATACGTTACATAAAGTAGGTAAATGTTCTAAAACGTAATCGGATAATTTATGCTTTGATATTGAAAGAATCATTTTTTTGAATTCGCCAGGCTTAATATAACCAATACCCTCTTTATCATAATATTTGAATTCTTGACGCAACCTTTCACCTTGTAATCCTTTCAACAACTGAGTAAATTCCTCATAAGTTAAATCATGTTTTAGACCAGGTTTTTTCCCAACATACAATTTCAACCAATCACAATCAAAGTCAAAAGGTACACTATCAGGTTCTAAATTTGATGTTAATATCTTTTTAAATTGATTGATGGTAATTTTGCCTTTACCTTCAACATCAAATAATCTAAAAGCAATTTCATATTCTGCATTAGGTTTTGATAACAGATTTTCAAATATAATAAAATCTTGTAAAGAAATTAAACCTTTATTACTAGTGTCAGCAACTTTAAATAATATACCAAATTGTTCTTTTTTAATTTTTTTGTAATCTTCGCCTGGTGCTATGGCTGCTATGAAATCATCTTTATTCATGTACTTTTTACCATCAATTGTCACTGATGAATGAGTTTCAAATGATCTTTTTTGTCTATTCAAGTTGGAATCTCTACTAGAGGTTGAACTGCGTATAAGTTCAAGAGATGATGATGCAATAAATGAGTTAGTTGCTTCTTGCTCTAAACTGATGTTTGCATTGTTAATTTCTGACATTGTTATTGTCTTTATTATTATCTAGTGATTTGAATAATCTATATTTCCTCCTCTACTATTATATATATGTATAAGTTGTCTAAAAAAATTTTTTTCAATGTCAACCAACAACATGTAATTAATCTACAGTACATAAATTTCAGCGTGTAACTAGGAAAACATTTGGTAATATTCGAATTTGATTGGATAATTTCATGAATTCAAATGTCGCACGGCACGTAAAAACCTGACAAAAAAGGAAGCTCTTACCACATTAAAAACCCGTTTTTTATTTGTTTGTGTAGAAATTGGCGAATTTGGTTAAATCAAGATCGTTTAATTATCGATTTATGGATCTGTGCGAATTTGCAAATTCACATAACGTGAAATTCAAATTAGCCAATTACAATATCTAAACACCCCACCCAAAATTTTAATTATAAATTTCGATTTCACATTAGTTTCAATTTCACATACAACAGATCTATATAAAAATGCATAAGTAATTTTGGGATTGGCTTTGAATGACAAATGTATTGAACATTTAATCTTTTTGATTTTTTTCCTGTTAAACCTTTCGCATGAATATGTGATCCATTTTCAAGTCACTAGTCAAATTTTGTAATAAAATCGTTGCTATAATATTATCTTCTACAAAATCAATTAGTTTGGATCATTGTTTAATAAAAGAATAATTGTAATTAAACATAATTATTTTTGTCCAGATTCAACAATCATCTTTATTTATTGTTTTTTCCACAAATTAGTTAGTATTCTTCTTGCTATAGCAAGGATACACGGACAGACTTTTGATATTTTATATTTCAAAAAAAAAATTTTTTTTTGAAATATAATTTCTTAATTGATCACCTGTAATAGATGTTACTTCATCCATACCAATCAACCACTGTATTAATCATGCACCAAATATTTTCTTTTTGGTACTCCAGTTTTTTCCAAAACCATTTTTGCATCCTATAATGTTGTTTGGTAGAGCTGTTGTCAATAAGTATTTATTTCTATGTTTATTCTCAAAATGACGTTTTATTGTGCTGATTCCAGTGTTTTACCAAACCAATCTTTACAAAGTTCACATTGTGAGAAACATTATCAAAATTATTCAAATATTTACAAATGCTATGTTGTATGGCCTTGACTGTTAAATGATGTTGTTGAATTGTTGTTGAAAATGATGTTGAGTTGTTGAATATCATCCATCATCAGTGTTTTCAATAAGTTTGTGGTTGTTGTTGTGATTCATCTTTGATTCAACATCCTTTAATAATTTTATATTATATCAAGTATTTAGTTTAATTATCAACAAAATAGCCTTTCAATTAACATATATACATTTCATCTTGAAGTACTAAAATTTGCAATTTACAGTGTGTTACAAAAAAAATTGGCCAAATTCAGACGTGATCTGAAACACGATAACTTTTTATGCATGTAAACCAACGTGTATAATAATATTATATATAAAATTATTCCCTTCTCTCCTTCATCTAATAATATATTTGTTTGTTGTTAATATTTGTTCTTATATCTATTAAAGTTTAAAACAATGACATCATCAAATTTAGAAACACATCGTCAAACTATATTACATTTTCTGAACGAAGGTGTATGCAATGCACAAGAAATTCATAAATTAACTAACATTCCACTCTCTACTATCAAATATAATATTAAAAAATTGAAAGAAACAGGAACTTTAGCTCATAGAAAAGGAAATGGAAGAAAAAAGAAAATTACACCAACCGCAGCAAGGGTACTTGGTCAGTTTATTCGAAGGAATCCTACTCAATCGTTGAGAACTTTAGCAGTAAAACTGTCTAGATATGATATAAATATAAGTTACGTTACAATCAAAAGACATTTGGATGAATTAGGTTATAAAAACCAGTTACCAATCGGTACTCCTATGTTAACTGAAGTTCAAAAGGCTAGGCGTGTTGAATGGGCCAAAAAACACATTAACGACTCATGGAAAAAAACTTTATTTAGTGATGAAACTGCATTTCAATTATTTCGAAACACAATTAAGCATTGGTATAAAGGTCCGCGCCCAATTAGACCACTTCCAAAAAACAGACAAAAAATTTTCGCCTGGGCCGGATTTTCCATTAGGGGGAAAACAAGTTTATTTTGTTTTACACAAATAATGGATGCAAAATTTTATGTTGAAATACTTGAAAAGCACCTTCAAGAAATCAACAGTATGCTTGGGAATAATTGGAGGTTTCAGCAAGATAACGATCCCAAGCATACAAGTCATCTTGCCAAAGAATTCTTAAAAGAAAATGTCCCAAAAGTAATTGATTGGCCCTCCAATAGCCCCGACTTGAATCCCATTGAAAATTTATGGGCTATTGTCAAAAGGAACACAGAATTACGAATGCCAAATAATTTGGCTGAGTTGCAACAATTTATGATAGAAGAGTGGAATGCAATTCCAAATAGTCTCTTAATTAATTTTGTTAATTCAATGAAAAACAGATGTGCACTTATAATCGAAAATAATGGAGAAAGAATTTCTTATTGAACTTTATATAAATAAAACCATATGTTTTCAGCTTTCTAATAAATTTTACTAAATTAGAATTGATATATTCATTATTGAATAATTGCGAATTTTTCCTGGCCAATTTTTTTTGTAACACACTGTACATTAAAGACAAACGTTCTTTATTCTGACTGTAGCTGTTCTACTTCCGAAGCCTTAGTCATTTAAAATTTTCCATTATCAATTATCAAATTTTAATTATCATTTAAGTAATTTTAACATTAATAATAATTTCATTCCTACAAATGAATAAATCCCGAAAAGGATTTATGGATTTCCGATAAAAATAAATAATAATAATAGTAATGGTAATGGTAATGGTAATGGTAATGGTAATGGTAATGGTAATAATAATGGCAATGGTAATAATGGCAATGGTAATAATAATGGCAATGGTAATAATGGTAATAGTAATAAGGAAAATGTTACTATTACTTGAAGAATTACCAGATGAGAGTAATTTATAACCTATATTTTGCTTTTTCATAACCTTTTATACTCTTTTGTTAAAAGTATATTTTTTAAACTTCACAGAAAAAAAATTGGGAGCAATTAATATTACATTTTCTTTTGTAATAATATTTATATCAAAAAAAGTTTTTCAAAAACCGAAGGTATACATATTAATATATTAATGAATCTAAAATGCTACCTGAAAAATTATTAACGTCAGACAGAAAAGAATTAGTATTGAAAATTTATGCTGAAATGAGTAATAATGCCTCAGCTACTTACAGAAAAAGGAGAAAATGTTTTTTTTTACAATTAGTCAAAGAAAACAAAGAACTATTAGAAAATGAAAAAGAGTTTTGTAGAGAAAAGTATATTCATGGTTTTGAATTAGATAATGCAAGTAATAAAAAGGGTAAACCAAGGGAATGTAACAAATGTAAAACAACAAGATACTCTGATAAATTTTGTGAAAAGTGTATTGGTCTACACCTACAGAGTCTTTTCAGCACTTGGACATCTGGAAATGAGATAATTGACGATTTTATTCAAAAATGTCAACAGCTTTCATCCCTCCCAAATGGAATTATAGAATGGATACCTTATGAGCAATTTAAAAATATAAAAAAGTTGACAGAAGGTGGATTCAGTTCAATTTATACTGCTGTGTGGATAGAAGGAAGTATATATGATTATGATGAAGATAAAAAGGAATTTGGTTATTATGAAGCTCAAAATGTAGTATTAAAATTGTTAAATAATTCAAGTAACCCAGGAAAACCATTTTTTGATGAGGTAATTGACCTTATTAAATTAAATTAAACCATTTATTTTATTAAATTAATTGATTTTATTATATAATTAATCACAGGCATTGAATTATTGTAAAGTTAATTCAAATTTAATTGTTTCTTGTTATGGTATAACTAAATTCCCTGACAATGGAAATTATGCAATGGTTTTAGATCATTATCCACGAGGAAATTTACGCAATTATTTGCAAAAAAATCATTCTAATTTAACATTAAAGGATAGAATTAAAATTTTTCGCTATTTATGTGGCGGATTATATTATATACATGGAAAAGATCTAATCCATTGTGACCTACACAGTGGTAATATATTAATAAGTGGAAGCGGTGGTAGTTATATTACAGATTTAGGATTATGTGGACCAGTTGATGAAAAATCATCAAATAAAATCTATGGAATTATATCATATATTGCACCTGAACTATTTAATGGAAATAAGAATACAAAAGAATCAGATATTTATAGCATTGGGATGTTGATGTGGGAAATATTTGCAGGCCATCCACCATTCGATGATAGAGCTCATAATCATGACTTAATGTTTAATATATTTGCAGGTTTACGACCACCAATATTACCAGGAATGCCCGATGATTATGCACAAATGATGCAAAAGTGTTGGAATGTGAATCCAACTAAGAGACCAACTATTAAAGAACTTTGGATATTTGCTGAAATCAAGTTTAAAACTAAAAGTCTTTATGAAAATGGTGGTAGCAGTAGAGGCAATAGTAGGAATAATAATATTTAGTAATTAGTATTTTTTAGTATTTAATAATATAATATATAATATCAATAAGAGTATAATATATAATAATTTAATATATAATAATCAATAATAATTTAATATATAATAACCAATAATAATTTAATATAATCAATAATATAATATTAATTTGTAAATATTAATTTTAATATCATAATAAATTTAGAATAAATATTAATATATGGGGTGTGCTTCATTTCTTGTTACTCAAATGTGCAACAAACCTCTAATAAAGAACATACAGTAGTAAATAAATAAACTTTTGAATTGATTAATTAACAAAAGGCGATATTTCATCTAAAACTTGACTTTTACTATCGTTTCAGTTTCCTCTGCACGATGATATTTGATGCTTTGCATTATAAAGCTAAAATGGGCGAACCAAAAAATCATCGTACCAGCTTTATTCTTCCTTGAAACTACGGTTATCCTTTTGACATTCACATTATAAACAAAATATTTATAAATGGTCTTCTCGCCAAAATCCCAGACTAGAGATTAATTTTGGATTAATTTTCTATATGATGATGTTTTTTCCCAAGAAACTTATGCAAAAAAAAAATGGCGGGTTCTTCATCCTTGTAGATGGCTTGTCTTTATTTGGTTTTGTTGTATGTGAAATGGAAATATTATGGAGCGGTGTGAAATTCTGATTGGCTAATTTGAATTTCACATACGTATGAATTGTGAATTCACATAATTTCATTTTTCACGTATATACAACATTTCTTCAACAAATCCAATGCGACTCCGGCACCTCCTTTGGTGCTATTAATATTTTTTAATCCACCACCTTAATTGAACTCGAAAGATCTATCTACAATTAAATATCGTCTATTGTCATTTCATCTGCTTAATTCTTTAACTTGATATATATTATTTCCTGTGAATTTCAAATAAAAAAAACTCTATATGCACGTATAATTAATGCTTTAACTGAATTATCTTAATTTTTGTTTGTGATCAAAAAAGTCCTCGATGTGATGGGATTGACACGAAATCCTTCCCAAATAATTATTATTGGCTTTGAAGGAAGATTTAATTATATAGCAAATTAATTATTGTAAACTCCATTCGCAAAGATAAAACTGCTGCTACTAGCGGTTAGAAATTATGAGAGTAAAAGAAAATATTTGGAATGAGTCCATGATCCAGATTTTGTCCAGTTTATTGATGATGATAAAATCCAAATCGTAAGCGCAAGAAATATTGTAAAGAAACATAATAATAAAAAAAATGTTATTAATCAAGAACAGCTAATACAAAACAAACAACAGAAATAGAATTAAGCAATGATGTTGTACTACGAGCACGAAGAGAATATAAAATTGTATATTTATCCTCCATTTTGCTGAATATCAAGGCAATAATTTTATGTTGGGGTGACCTTTAATTTTCTACTTTTTATTTGCATCGAACAGATAAAAATAAATAAATAGCATTATCCACCCAAGTAATAACAATACTAAGACCATGTAAAAACGAAACTTTAAGAAGCCATTTTGAAAAAAGAGAAGGTATAAATTGCGTATATACAACTACAGGTAAAAGATATTCACGTTTATCACGTGGCTTGCATATAGTAATCAAATATCCGAGATTAAATGAATACATCAAAAAAAAAAAGCATACTAACTAGATTCCTGGATTCTAACAATTGAAAGCTTGCTGAAAGCCTAGTCATTTACAGAGATGTCTTTTCAACATACTTAGAATATACTGACTGTACTTGAAATATACTTAAAGGTTGCATAAAACATACTTGAAGTATGTTTTAAGAGCATTTTCAAATATCAATTTTTTTTGTAGTGACGAAAGTAAAAACTGAAATAAAAAGTTATGTGTCAAAACTAGTTTCAACTTAAGATTAAATTCTTTTGACTTTTGCACAGTTGCGAAACTCTATTGTTTTGGAAACCAACACTATTACTATCCACCACATGACATGAAATTCGACAATGCAAATCTTCTTTCAATTTTATTATTATTATCTAAAGAAAGCAAAGAGCTAATATTATGTTGTATATGGACATGTTGCAACAAAACCAGACAAAGTGAACATAACACCCATAAATTAGCTTCAATGAAAAGAAAATGATTGATGGTATCATATAAACACACACACAAGTTAGAATTGAAAAATGGATAGTAGCAAAATAAAAACTTGGGACAAATTTATCTGCTAATCCCCACGACAAATTTAAATTAGATGCATTGAATGAAAAATAGGAAAAAGTTTGTGTACGGTTTCTTGTCTAATTAAAAATTATTAAAACTTATTCGTCATTATACCATTTAGAAATATAAAATAGTTTCCAAAGCATAAGCGTTATATATAAATTTAATTTATAGCATTGGTTCACTATGCTTTTTTTTCAAATGCTTTAAACACACTTCTTATAACTCTGATTCTTCAAACTACTTTAAATAGAATCTATGCTTCCTATTTAATTGCCTTCTATAGTTGTAATTTGTATCGTTTTTTTTTTATTTAGAAATAAAATAAATATCATTTAACGTCAATATTACTTAATAAGCTATCATTACTTTAAAAAAAATTCATCATTTAATATTCTACTTGTATGATATGCTAATGGGTGTGATTTGTGAGGTTTCCATGAATTATTATTATTATTATTATTATTATTATTATTATTATTGTTATTATTATTACTACTA